CCCTCCTCCTCCTCCCACCCCCCCCTTGCTCTTGCTTTTTGCTCTTGCTCTAGCTCTCTCTCTGGCCTTGGAGAGGAGAGCCAGTGTTCTCTTATCTCTTCTTTAGCTTCTCTGCTGTCAGGTTGCAGCCCATTTTACTACTTTTAATATCTGTGTATATCATCTATGCCGCTTCTAATAATACAGTTACAATTTATTGAAGGCATATTATGTGCTGGGGACTGTTCCACACACTTTTGTCTGAGCCATTATTCCCATCACTACTTTCATGCACTGTTAATGATTTTTTTCCTCCACTGTTATCACCATCATAATTCAGTTGCTGCTGCTACCACTTCCTTAGTCTTATCTTTTTTTAACCATTGATACTTTTTTTATTTTTGTTGCTCTTGTCTCCTGTTGTTTTTTTCTGTGACTGTTGGCTTTTGCTAAAAATTGTTGGCCTCTATGATAGACCTTATAAGACAGTGTTTTTTCTGTGTGGCAAACAAGCCAATTTTGGTGTATCATTTGTAAGTCTCCCAGTTTTTCAGCCTTTCTTTGTTATATTCTGTTGCAGCTGCAATGATGTCAATTTCCTTCAAAACCTTGTGTGTGTGAAGAGAAATGGGAGTTTTCCTTTTTTCTTCCTTTCTTCCTCTCTTCCTTCTTTTCTTTTCCTTTTCTTCTTTCTTTCCCTTCTCTCCTTTCTTTCTTTCTTAAGGGAGTTGGAATAAAGAGTATTTTTTTGATGCCTCAAAATTTTAGAAGGCAGGTTGGCAGATAGCTGAGATGGTGTTAAAAATATGCTAGGAAAGAGCTGTCTGTCTACAATTAACATCCTTCATATGTTGCTCTAATTATAATAAAATTCAGAAAATATCACTTTATTGATATAATATGTAATTTAAATCACTGTTGAGGTCTTAGCCTAAAGAGAAATTGTAATATTGAAATTATGGTTTTTAAATTCACATGCCATTCATAATCTATAGTACGGTGGTAGTTAGCGAGTCTAGTGCTTTATGCCAAAAGATGAATCAGTTTTATAAAGATATTAATGTAAAGGTAAATTAATTTCTATAAGCCAAGAGGTTTTTATATGCTGATATACATGCATTTATAAAATCTTATTTTAGCAAATCACATTTGTTGGCATTGTGACATATGCCAAAATCTAAGAACAGAGAAAGTTCAACTTTCAAAAGCATTTATTAAACATCTGTTATGTGTGTACTGTTCTACCAGATACTGCAGAGATGTGAAGACGCAGAAAATACTGTGTCTATTTTTGTGTTCAGAAACTAGTTAAGAAAGCAAGAAGATACAATGTGGGCAGTAGCTTAAGGACAAGTACAATACAATATGTAAGTAGGCATATATCAGTGTGGTTTAGATTGTATTCATCAATGAAGGAGCAAAAGTAAGAGAAAGATCAGTGAGGGATGGAATTTAGTTAGAAAAGATTCGTGTTGGCTAATCTTGAGGAAGATCACGTTAATTTTGAACTAGATCTCATTTTGCCCTGGTAGTCATATAATTAGGCAAATATTTTAGTGCTAATTTAAGATTTGTCTGCTTTTTTATTCTCTGATTAATAGAAAAAGAAACTTGGCATAATAGTTCAAAGACAATAATTCTTTTTTTTTCCTGAATATTTGATGATAGAGCCATATCTTTTCATCGAAATCTATTTTTAGGGATGTAACAGCTGCTGCCTTTGTGATTTAGTGTTGAACTAAATTCCAGTATATACTGGTGATTAACCTCAAAATGATCTCATTGAATTGATATTTCTGGTAACAACTGTTTTGAACCAGATTCTGCAGGTAATGGATCATTCTTTTGTAGAGGATATCTGTGTTAATGTTTTTGTTATTTTACCATCACTTCTGACTTAATACTTAGAAATTCTGTATTTGGAAGGCAATTTGAGATCTTTTCAATAATAACATTTTATCTTTAATTTTCATGCTATTTATACCCCATCATTAGTGAAGAAAGTCATGCTTTTATAAACTGTTAACTTCTCGAATGTTTTAATAGGTTCGAATTGAACAAGTAATAGTTGCTGAACCTGGGGCAGTTTTATTATACAAAATTTCTAATCTCCTCAAATTTTACCACCATACAATAAGGTAAGTAGAGTGATGTAATGTGCTTGTTAAATCCCATGTCATATTTTTTCTTAGTTAGAGCACAATGTAAGATTTTTTTTGTTTTCACAGTAGAACCTCCACACCATGTGAATCATTACATGCATATTATACATGCTACACCTCGAGGTTTTCCTTTTCCCTTTCTTCTCTAAACGTAATTGTACACTGATAAATGCACGTATACATACAACTTATGTAACAATAAAAGTCTGTAACATATTTATTGAGTCTTCCCGCATTAGTAGAAGAGAGCCATGGCAACTGAAGCAACTATTTATTATACTCAAATAGTGCATAATGAGTGAAATGTCCTATTCTGGATGTAAATAACTTAAAGTCTTATTTAGCATATTAATTTACTATCAGTAATAAAACAGAACCATAGCTTTATTTTCTCCAAAAGCAACTTTATCTGATTAGGAGCCACTTGTCTTATCTAAAATGTGATCTTTGACTCCAAAGTTTGCATTCATTTTTCTTCGCATATTTCTGTTAGTGGTATACACTTAAGCTTTATTATAACACTATAAGAAAAAGTTATATGTGTAGTTATGTTAAACCATGCCTTTTCAAGCTATATTTTTGATAGTTTTCATATTTTTTCCTTAAAAAAATATTTAAAAATTACTTCTCTAGTATGCCAGTATCAGGAATAGTATACGAGCTGTTAAAATCTAACAGGGTTATAACTAACGTCTGTGAGAGATTCAGGGATCACTAGTTCACAGAGCACCAAAATATTATGGTAAGGATATTACCTACCCCTTAGTGACTGAGAGTAGCTAACCAAAACTTCGCAGCCAAGAAATGCATTTCTCATCTATTGGTAGATTTTCAAACAAAAGTAACAAGCCACAGACTACAAAACTGATCAGAGATATGATTTGGGTTAGCCTTTAACATTTTAGATATAAATTTATCATCATTGCCTGAGACTCAAAAGCAGTAAATTAATATCAGTTGTAATGTTATAGGCTTCCTAAAATAAGAGAATAGTAAATACTTAGGAAACACGAGGGCAGCTGAAAGCAGCTAGACATAGCAAATGCTGTGTTCTAAAAAGGTGATGGTAAGATAACTTTTTAAATTGTTTATTTAGTAATGTCTGTGATGATACTGCATGAAATTTGTTATTTAAAGATAATAATTCAGTTTCTAATGCAGAAAATGATAGAAATAAAATCATTTGATTCTGAAGTTGATAATAGGTTTTTTTAGGCTCTGAGAATTATAATTTTTCTATCTTTCAAGATAATGATATTGAGGATGGCAATTCAAATCTTTTGGTACATTTTTGCATGTACTTTTTCTACTTGTTCACATATTTCCTCACTTAGTCAATTAAAAAGTTGACTGTTTACTTGTCATTCATCTAGGTGCTCAGGAAATAGCAGTGAACAAAATTAGAGCTTAAACTTATGTTCTAATAGGGAGACAATGAAACAAGTATAAAATAGTAATTTTAGGTGGGGATAAGGGCACTGAAGATAAAGCAAGAGAAAAGAAATAGAAAGTTTAAGTAGTGACCATGTATGAGGAGGTTTATGTATGTGTCAATATTTTTGAAAGCCTTTTGGTAGAGGTGATATGTCAACAGAGACCTGAATAACGTGTAGAAATTGGGCATGGAAAGATACTGGAGAAGAGTGTCTTAGGCAGAGGTACACTCTGGTCCTGAAGCTAGGAAAAGCTTGCATTTTAGAGAATCAGAGGAATACTATTGGTTGAAGTATAGTGAACTGGAAGGAGTATGGGAAGATGAAATCAGAAAGTTAGAGGGAGGCCAGGTCATAGACGACTTTGTAGGCCATCATGAGGATTTAGATTTTATACTGAGTGGGTAGGGGAAGATATGAGAGGGTTTTGAGTGGCTTGAGCTGATTTATAATATAAGGTTACTCTGGGTACTGCGTGGATAATGTAGTGTAGTGAGGCTAAAGGGGAAACAAGGAAGGTATTTAGGAAGCAGTTTGTGGTTCTGAGCAGAGAAGATGAGTTAGAAGATGAGTAGTCTTGAAAGTGGTGAAAAGTAATTCACTCCGGAGATACTTTATATTCTAGAGCCAGTTTAGACGTGAGAACTAGAGGGAGTGAAATGAGAGGAGTCAAGGATGAATTCTTGTCTTTTGGTTTGAACAACTGGGTGAATGGTATTATTTGCTGAGATGGGGGATGTTGGAGAGGAACAGGTTAGTGGGGGTGGGTGGGTGAAGAGTTCAGTTCAGCTTTGGCCATGTCAGATTTGGTGGACCTATGAACATATGGTAGGAGATTTTGAGTGAGCAGCTAATACAGAGAGAAAGGGTTGAAACTAGGAAATTGGTAGTTTTCAGCATACAAATGGTAATTGAAGCCAAATCAAGTAATAGTGTAAGCATGTTGGGTAGAAATATGGAGTGAAATATCAGAAGGAAGCATTTATAAGTATCTGGACCAGTTACTGGTACCTAGTGAGTACTCAATAAATATTAAATTCTAGACCTGAGTAACTGCAAAATAAAGCTGATATCTCCAAATTTTTAAAATGAATGCAAATATATCTTGATATCTTTCTGAATTTTTTATTAAAGTATCAGTTTCTATTTGCATTCATTCAATTTACTTCCCCTGTTGCTTGATGTATACTTTTATTCAGAGGAATGATTGCTTTTATGGCATGCATAGGCATATATGGGAATTTCTTTCAATTTGGTGTTTGGTTTATGATATTTTTAACTGAAATATTTTTTGATTTTTGTTAAATATTTAGATACAGGTGTTATGGCTACCTGTTTAATAATTTGCTTGTATTTTGCTGTTTGCTTTATGCATTTCTTTTTTACTGATAATTTGCTTCGTTTTCATGAACTGTGTAAGAATTCGTCAATTTATTTTAGTTTCAGAAAATATTGAAATATTTAGTATCAGTATTTGCTTTTATAATATATCACATGTGGTATATTATTTATCAGTAAATTTGCTGTGTTTTTAGCTTACTGTTTACCATTAATTATTAATGCCATTATATTTATCTTCAGCAATCTAAATTTTTTTAGGCATAGTAAGATGTTATTGTGCCTTTAGAAATTATGATTTCGTACTGGATTAAAGCATATTTTTACATCAAAAAAAAGTTTTCCTTTATGAAATTTTTGAATCATTTTCAGTACATGAATTAGGAGAATAAAATAGAGAATTATTTTATATACATACTTGTCTTAGATCCTGGTAAAAATGGGAAATCCTCTTGGATGGATCTAAGAAATATCCTTGTAATATCAAATTGAAGATTATGGAATGTACTAATGTAATTATTTCAAAACATTATCAGAATTTTTATAATTAGTCTAAATATATTGCTATTTAGGCAACTGTATAAAAAAAAGAGAAACTATATAATTTATAAGTATGTTATTTTTTTGGTGGCTTGCCAGTATGGGGATCTGAAAACCCTTGACACCACAGTAACCAACTGAGCTAACTGGCTAGCCCCTATAGGTGTGTTATTAATATTATATAACAGTTTTAATTTTTAAAAATGACTCAGTATTTTTAAAACTTAAATATTTTATCAATAGACTATTGGAGAAATACCTTTCTTAAAATTAAAATTAGATCTTCTTGGATAATCAAGATATATGTTTACTGTAATAGAGGGAAAATAGAGTACAGGTTTATGTATTACAAATGTTTGTTCTAAACCCCAGTTTTACTAAAAAGAGATTGGAAAATACTGAAAACATAGTAGTTTTTATTTTTTCATTGTCTAACTCAAAAGAAAAAGACCCTGACATTTTTATGTGAAACTGGAGTAATTGTTTTAAATTCACAGGTTGTATTCTACATAAAAACTATCATTTAAATCCAGATTTTTTAAAAGCAGTATACTCAGTTAAAGAACGGAATCGTTTCAGCTTCTACTTTGCAACCTGAAATATTCTTTGTTTTTAGTGGCATTGTTGGAAATAGTGCAACTACATTATTGACTACCATTGAAGAAATGCATTTGCTAAGCAAAAAAATATTCTTCAATAGCCTGAGTCTTCATGCAAGTAAATTAATGGACAAGGTATGTTTGAAAAATGTAATTCTTAAACTGTGAATGTGAATCTTTCACATTTCAGATACTGTCTTAATGTTTTTACCTTGGCTGTTGATTTTTTTCTCATTCCATACAGTGTTCTTTTGAGTTCTTTTTATGAACAACAAAGTTCATTTTGAGATGGCTTACTGGACCTATGTTTATAGTCTGTGTTCCTGGAACAGTATAACATTGAGTCGTAACTGGAGATAGAATCTCAAGCCCTAGTTTTATACCATTTTTCTGTGACGAAAAATAAAGCAAATTTAATATATTTGTTGGGGGGGGGGCTAAGATGACATACAGATTTGAAAACTGGAACTTTTACAAAACCTTTTTTCTAAACATTTATATTTTTACTCTCTGATGTTACAGATTTGTCCTTATAAAATTTATGCTCCTCTGAGTTATACATATACTGTAATTATTTTTGAAAACAAACAAGGAAAAACACCCCACAGAAAACAAACAACAAAAACCTTAGAGTCCTATGAGATCTAATATTTTAAATTGAGAAGGGTATTGTGGCAGGACCTTAAGGAATGGCTTTACAATTATCAAATCCTTCTTTATTTTCGTTTCATTATTTAAAAGATTTTTTTATTGCAACATGTTGATTATACATATTTGTGAGGTACAGAGTTATATTTTAACACATGTATACAATGTGTGATGATCAAATCAGAGTAATTAGCCATATTCATCACTGCAAAACTTAAAAATTTCTTGTGATGAGGACATCTCCTCTTTTTTAGCCATTTGATAACTTGCAGGTAATTATTTTAATTATAGATTCCTAGCTCAACTGTATACCAGTAGAACTTATTTTTTCTATTTAGCTGTTTTGTATCCATTAACCAACCTCTCACTGTGTCCCCAACCCCTTCCCTTTTCCTTCCTCCAGGAAGCTTAGTTCTGTTCTCTCATTCTGAAAGTTAAAATTCTTCTTCTTAATCTTTGTTTATTTATTTATTTATTTATGTTTAGCTCCCACTTATGAGTGAGTACATGTATATTTCTCTTTCTGTGCCTGGCTTATTTCACTTAACGTAATTTCTCCAAGCTCGTCCATGCTTCTGTGAATGGCAAAATTTCATTCTTTTTTATGGTTGAGTCATATTCCATTGTGTACATATACTACATTTTCTTTATCCTGTCATCCACTGATGGACATTTAGGTTGATTTCATATCTTGGCTATTATTAATAAAGCTGTGATAACCATGAGAATGCAAGCATCTTTTCAACATGATTTCCATTCCTTTGGATATATACCAGTGTGGGATTGCTGTATTGTATTGTAGTTCTATCTGTAGTTGTTTAAGAAACTTCCATACTGTGTTCTATTTTTGTTTCATTATTAAGCACTCGATTTTTTTGAGGATGCATCACAATCACCATGCTGGCTTTTTTTTTTTTTTTTTATTGTACTGCTCTGTCTAATAAGCTGGCTATGTTAGGTACAGATTTTGTCATATAATATGGAATAGTCAGTAGCAATCCAATCCAGAGTTCACTAACAATTAATTCTGCTTATATTTGTTTATATGAGTTTTAATCTAAACAGAATTCTTCTAAAATCATTCACAAATGATAACAGACATTGAACATGAACAAATACGTGCTAGCTGATGAGAGTACAGGCCAAACACTCAAGGTCTGTTGACCTCAGATTGCTTCCCCTTTAGTGGAAAATGGTAAAATGAATCAGTCATTACTATAGAGTCAAGTTTTATGAAAGATGTGTACCTAGGATGCTATGCTAGAACAAAAGGAGGAGTTTATGTAGATTTCTACATATACTCCTTTACAGAGAAGAAGCTTTATAAGAGAGGGAGATAGTAGAGTTGAACTTGGAAGGACATGTAGAATTTAGGTAGGTGAAGAAGGGGGTGAAAAAGGTTATCCTAAGTAGAAGAAACAAATAGAATATGCCAGAACACAAGCTATGAATCACCAATAAACAGATTTTTCATTTTCTGTTGGAAAAAAGCACTTGGAAAGTGGTATGTTATATATGGATAGGAGGGAGACCAGGTTGGAGACAGGGAAATTATGGGAGTATTGAGTCAGTTTTGTAAAAATACATGATCTAAGGGAGAGACTGTGGAAATAGCCACGAAGGGATAGATTCTTAAGGGGTAAAGGTAAAATCTTCAAACTTGGTGACTGATTGAATGTGCATAAGTGAGAAGGAAGAGTCTAGAATAATTTGTAGGCTAATTAAAAATATTTAGAATACAGAAAGAGGATAAAGTTTGGGAGATAAAGATAATGATATTGTCTAAGCTAAGTTGAGTCTGAGGTACCTATGGGATATCCCTCTGGAATCTGTCTAATCTAGAAGGGAGCTATGCATTTGGGTTTAGAGAGTTTTGCGTATGAGGTAGTTGAATCCATGGGTTTGGATGAGGTCACTAGGAATCATTTTTTAAAAGAGTAGAACTATCAGGACACAGTCTTGGGAAACACTGACATTTAAGAGAAGAAAAAAAGTCAACAGTATGATTCTGAGAGAAGATTGCGAGAGAGGCAGGAGAAAATGAGGAGAGGGTTTTATCTGAAGAGCCAAGAGAATAGAGTTTCAAGATGGAGGGCATGGTTAATAACGGCAGATGCTACATGAAAAGTGACACTAAAAGAAAGACAGTGGGGTTATCTTTGGCAGTAAGTAGATGATCAATGGCTTTACTGAATAATTTTAGTCCTGCTAAGGGGGTAGGAGCCAGACAGCAGTGTGGGGAAAAGCACATCGATAAGCATATTACCCAAAGCTGCACCAGATGGAAACCATACAGGACTCAAAACTGAAAATAAAACATACTAGGTCCTCATATTAAGGTATCTGAGAGACAACAATAAAACTATGATAAGTAGGAAGAATGGAATTAAATTTTTGTGATAAATTAGAAAACAATTATTTCTTGAATAGGTCAACAGAAGTGACAAACTTACAGCAAGTCTAATCAAGGAAAAAATATTTAAAATTATAACAAGAAATAAGAGACAATCCACAGATGAGGATTAAAACTTCTTAGTCCCATATGCAATTTTATGCTAAAATAATCTGGAAATCTGAATTATAAGAATGATTTTTAAGGCGATATAAATTGATAAAAGTGAGTCAAAAAGTGGAACACTTAAATGTACCGAGGGACTGAAGAAAAGTTATTAAAGAACATGTTGCTAGGTCTAGTTAAAGTTACATAGAGAGCTTCATTCATACCTATGAGAAACAGATAATTCTCCAAAACTCAGAAAAAATATGGAAAGCTTCCCAGTTTTTTTTTTTTTTAGGTGGTATAACACTTATATGAAAGCCTTCTAGTAATAGTAAAGTAATGAAAACCACAAATCATTCATTTATAAATGCTTTCTAAAATGTACCATCAGGTCAAATACAGCATTTATATTAAAACCAGATATGATTTATTCCATGAATACAAGAATGTTTCAGTGTTAGGAAAGATATTAAATGTTTCCGTGTTAAGAAATATATTAAATGAGTATATAAAAATATATTAAATTCTATATCCTAATGATACTTAATCAAATTGTTGGTGGAAAAAATCTTAGTAAATGAGTAATTGAAGAATACTTCCTTAACCATGTAAAGATATACAAAACTAATAGCCAACATCATAATTAACATAAAATTACTAGTGATATACATACTCCTATTTAAGTGAAGAATGACAATTCTTGCCAATACGTTTAAATAATAGCTATGGTGGAAAGACCATATGGAGAAATGAGATTTAAATATTTCACAGGAGGAAACATTAGGTGATTTATGGATGCTATGATTGTCTACTATGAAAACCCAAGAAAATCAACTGAAAAGCCGTAAAACCAAAAAATGAATTTTAGTAAGGTAGTTGGTGAAAAGATCAATATACGAAAATAATTTTCCTATGTGCCAGCTCACGAGGAGCTCAGTAAATACTAGTTACATGAATGACTTGTACAGTTCATTTTCTGCTAGCTAGCCTATATTCCATCATAATCCTGCCATTACCTTTAAATCTCTTGCACCCTTGTCATTTTACCACACTCACTTTGCAAACCACCCTGGGCTAATTCAGTTTTTCCAATTTCTCCTTTGTATGCTATGACTGCTGAGCATCGCTAAAGAAAATTGTATAACCACACAGACTGGAGTCACTAAAATTCCTCTCCAACATCCACACAGTCCTCCATGATGTCCAGCAGATGCTGCATGTCCTTAGGCAGGCAGTAACTTACTTTGACCTGTTTCCTCAAATCTGCCATATTGCCTCCTTCCGAAAGTGCTAAAACTGGATAATGGGCATTTTAAAAAAGTCTTTGCCGTTATGATGAGCAAAAAGTGTTATCTCATCTTTTCTCGTTTGGATTTTTGTGATTCTAGTGAGAATGAACTTTTTAAAAATTGTTTATTGGCTCTTTGTGAATTGCTTGTTCAGTCCTTGCCACTTTCCTACTGAGTTGTATCTCGTTCTTGTTAATTTCTGGTGTTCTTTATACACTAAGAATATTAACTCTCATATACATATTATAAATATTTTCTCCAAGTTATCATTTGCCTTTTAAATTTGCCTATACTATTTTGAGATGAATAAATTTTTAATTTTTGCATAGTGAAATCTAAGCGTTGTTTTTCTTTATAGTTTCTTCCTTGGGAACATGCCATGCTTGAAAACATCCCCACAAGCAAATGCATTTAGAATTTAATATATGATAAAGTTATCATCTATTAGTGGGAAAATTATAAATTATTTTAAAAATTAACTTAGATGTATGTTCTTAAGTATTTCTGTGCATTCACTCTTACATCAGATTTTTTAATCTACCTGAAGTTTACTTTTGTCCATGCAGAAAAGTCAGGATCTCATTTTTTCCCAAATAGTTACCCATTTATTTTGTTTTATTTTTCCTTGGGAGAATACTGAGTTCCTATATATTTTATTATTCACAAAAAGTTAAAATGAAAATTGTAAAAAATAGGAA